GGACTGGCCCCCAGCCGTGGGCTTGTCCGCCTGCAGGCTCCAGGGCCCGGCCTGGGGTCGCCGTCGGTTCGGGTGGCACTGACCATCAGCGGTCAGTCCGGTTGGAGGCGTGTGTGCCGGTGACGGTGGTTTTCCGAGGGGCCTTGAGGACTCAGACCCTGCTCCAAGGCCACAGCTCCCCTCTGGCCACGCTCGCCTCCGCGCACTCGCCAGCCACCCCACGGAGGGCAGGTCTGTTCGACGTGAGATTATTTTAAAGTTGGTGTTTGACTCTATTCTGTGCTGCCTTGATTCCACACAGGTGGAAAGAGCCTCTGAAACCAGCTCGTGGATTAAGCGGAGAGGAGGGAGGTTTAAAACCCACGGCAACGGAGAAGCAGGCTGCGGCGTGAGCGGTCAGGGAGGGAATGGGGCCGGGTCACAGAGGAGGGTGCTGTGGGGCTGGGTGACCACGGAGGACGCGTCAGCACGGCCGGTCTGTCCCGGGAACCAGTCTGCGTGGGGCAGTCGGCGCGGAGGGAGGCGGGGGCGCCCACCAAGGCCCAGAGCTCGCAGCCCCACTCACTCAGCCTTTGCTGAGTTCCTGCCATGCGTCCGGCACCGTGCTGAGCGCGGAGACGCCGGCGTGACTGAGACACCACAGCCTCGGCTCGGGGCTCACAGGTGAAGGGACGGCAGATGTGAGGTCACATGACTGGACGCTCGCTGGTGAACGTGAAGGCGGAGACGGGTCTTCCCCGCCATGGAGGCTGAGGGGCAGCTGCACCGTCGCCCGCCAAGCACCAGGGCCTCAAATCCGGTCGGAGCGGCCCCCTCCACGCCTCCCGCCCAGGGGGGTGTTAACTGTGGGGGAGAAAGGGGTTTCCTAACAGTCGTGTTCCTGGTGGAGCGGGAGGGGTAGCACTGGGTGACAGGCTGGACTGTGCCCCCCAGAGATGCACTGGAGCCCCACCCGGGGGCCTCGCTGGGACCTTGCCTGACGCGGGGCCTTCACAGTGGTGTGGGACTCACAGGGAGGCTGTGGGCAGGCCGACCCCACGGGAGCAGGGTGCTCGTCCAGGGGCCGGACTGGCTGGCCCTCAGGGCCCCTGGCGGGCCCAGCCCTGCTGACACCTGGGTGTTGGACTTCAGGCCCGGATCCAGGAGGTGTCCTTCCTGCCGCCTGAGCCGCTGGTCCGTGGGCTCACCTGTCCCCTCGGAAACCCCGAGACAGGAGCGCAGGGCACGGCCAGCAGCCGGTTGCGGTCTCCAGGTGGACGCTGGCGGGTCCCAGGGAGACCAGAAGCCGCTCTGAGGTCAGTCCCACGAGTGCAGGAGCCCCCGGAAGGCAGAGCTCCCGGGCTTTCTGCTTTCAAGGCCGCGGGGCGGTTTAGGGGCTGGAGGTGAGCCCGGACGCCGCTGGGTCATGTAACCACTCTGGCTCTGCTTCCTTGTCTGCGAACTGCGGCCCCCTCACGGGAACGAAGGACGAGGGGCACCTGGAGGTGTGACCAGCAGGTACCGCCGACCGGCCGGCCGCCTCCCGGCTGCCCTCAGGAAGCTGTGGGGTTGGCCTGTGACCCTCTCATTTCTTCACCTCCAAGCGATCCCCAGTCTTACGGCCGAAGGACTGGAGAGGGGTTTCTGGAACATTATGTTCCGAGGGCTCCAGTGCCTCATGGCCCGCTCTGCCAGGGATGCTCTGAGGACAAGCTCGCACCTGATCAAGGCGTACTTCTGTTTCTCACGGGGACACCGTCACACCCAGCCTGGGCCAGTCGCGGCCCCGGAAGGGAGGTGTGCAGGATGTGTATTTCCGTAAAAACAAGGACGAATGTGGGAGAAAAGGCAAGGGGGTGGGTGAGATGCAGACATTACTCATTTCATTTTACGTGACTATTTACTCTGATGCTGAATAAAAATTGAATTTGTCGCTATGGCAACCGCCGCATCGCCAGCACCCTCCTGGCTCCTGGGCAGGAAGCGCATCTACAGACTCCGTGGGCCCGCGTGACTCGGCCCCTCCCTCCGAGCTCCGGGAGACGGACCAGATGGCTCGTAACAAACTCACATCCGTCGATACGTCAAGTGCAGTTAATTAGATCGAGCGGATTTTTGTGTGATTTTTCCTCACTTTTGAGAAACAGGAGGAGTCACAACAGGTGCGTCCAGCAAAGGTCGGAAAGGAGCCCACCAAGGGGAAGGGGCTGAGCACCGGGGTGGGGGCGCCGTCGGTGGGCTGAACACGGAACCTCTAGGGCGGCTGCTGCAGACACTTCCCTGCAGCTTCATCGGATTTCCGGTCCAACTCCAGCGAGCAGGCTTTCCTTAGGGGTGCGTTTTGCTTTTAGGAGACAAGAGTTCGGTTTTGCCTGTCAAGAAGTTTAGGTCACAGTATGGTAAGGTGCCGTGCAGAAAGGACAGCCGGGGGAACAGTCTCTCCCCGCCGCCGGGCCCACAGCTCTCGGGCTCAGGGCAGAGTCCACGGCCCTTCCTTCCCTGGGGCCTTCCCTCTCCCGCCTGGTCGGTCCCTGCTCACCCTCCTTCCCGCACCCGGTGCTGCCCCACGGCGCCCGCGGCCCCTCAGACGCAGCACGGACGCTCGGGCGCAGCTGCTACTCTGTCACCCCTTCCCACGAAGGCTCCCGGGCCCCGTAAAACCTGTGGCGAACTCGTGTACGTTCCTCCAGCGCCGTTTCCGGACACAGCCAGGGGCCCGAGGGGGACCGGGGAGGGGTGGCTGCTGCTCCCTCCTGCCCCCACGGACTGCGCGGAGAAGGGGCCTCCGTGAGGCACGACCGGGGCAGTAGGAAAGGGGTGTGCAGCCCGAGGCTTCAGCACGAGCAGGCTGACCACGGCTCGAAAGACAGAAGCGTCAACGCTGTAACAGACGCCCGGGGCAGGGAGACAAAGACTGAGGCGAGAAGTCAGTGTGCCCCTGGAAGTGCCACACACAGGGACAAATAGGCAATGAGTGCGTGGCCCGCGAGACCGGGTGGGGACTGGCCACACGGTGGCCCTGAGGGGAGAGGGGAGAGGGGAGAGGCGGCCAGGAGGCTGAGGGGCGGGTGTGTGAGAAGGGCCACGCCCGGCTAGCGGGAGGGCGACCACGGCAACAGCGGCACCAGTGGGCAGTGGCTGGGAGCCCCAGACCCCCAGGCACGTGGCCTCCACGTCTCTGGAAACCCTCACAACACCCCCACTGGGCCCGTAGGCGCCCCCTCGGACCACCAGAAGACCGAGTCCTGGGGAGCGAGGCCGCGCTCAGAGGGGACAGACAGCCTCGTGGAGCCGAGGGAGGACTCCAGACGGACCCTGAGCGGGGTCAGCGGCCTGGGGCCCTGACGGATGGGGCGGGGAAGTCAGCAGAGGTCATGGGCGCAGAGACAAGCGTGGACGCAGGGCTGTGGGCACCGGCGCGGAAAGGGACTGGACGTGACACTGGGAGGAGCAAGGAGACTGAGGTCACAACCTCCTGACCCTCGTGTTTCTCCCCGGGGTGGGTAATGGGGGGGAGTGAGCACGTTCTTCAAAACCGGCGTCAGCGAGGGACCTGCCCTGCAGGCTCAGGCTCCAGGACCGGGCCCCTCGATCCGGCGGCATCGAGCAGGTGCTCGGGGCACCTGGGGAAGCTGGCCCAGCGCAGCAGCCGGTCAGCGGGCTGCCCCCGTCATCGGGTCCTCCCTCGAGTTCCCGGGAAGCAGGCAGAGGCCCTCGGGCGCAGCTGCCACAGCGGGGGCCCCCACGCCCCTCACCTGCCCTCTCCAGGCAGGGTGGCCTCATGGGCACAGGACCGCCCTCCCGACACGCCGGCTGGCGCCCGGAGGCCCAGACACGGTGGGGGGGTGCTCAGGGGGCTCGGGTGTCCTTGACCTGAACGCGTCCGGGTCTGTCCCAACCCCCGGACACCAGTTAATGCTGTGCTGTGCAGACAACCCTCCCAGGGGCTCAGAGGGTCCCGGCCCGCTGTCCTCTCCCTTGTGGCCGCCGAAGTCCCGCCGTGACAGGGGACGCTTCGTCCCCCCAGCCCGGCCACCAGCGGAGGAAAACCAGGGATGGGGCGTCTCGCCGTCCCTCCTGGAATTTTCCGAGGAGTTCTGGTCAGTCACCGGTGGTGCCCGCCCCGCACGCCGGGTCGCAGGGACACGAGTGTCCGCCAGGCCCCGCACTGAGCTCTGTGAGCTGTCCCACCCCCACGCGCCTGCTCCTCGGTGGGTACGGGGCCGCCGTCCCGAGGAACTGCCGTCAGACGGGCCCTCGCGCTGCGAGCAGGACCCGCGGCTGCCGGGCCGGGGAGCTGCCCCCGAGGAAGCGGCGGGTCTTCCGGTGGCGGAGACCCCTGCTGCCGAGATCCCTCCGCCCGCACGGTCCGCCGCCCAAGGAGGCCTCGGGGCCTGACATCTACCCTTCCCAGTGTCGGCGCAGGACAGGCCCGGTCCACGCTGACGCAGAGCCGCCGCCCCGAGTGCAGCCTCTTCCACGTCCCGAGGTCGGGACGCAGGCCCCGCCAGACCGCCCGCGCAGACCTCTCCAGGCGCCCCCTCCCGCGCACCGCGCAGCCGCGCCGGGGCGGGGAGACCGCTCTCGGGTGATTTGAATCACCTCACGGGACATTCCTGCTCCTGCATTGCCTCCCCCCAAGCAGGTCCTTAAATAATTGAGCTAAGGGGCGCCCTCTGGAACCCCAGAGGAAAGGACGATGCCCTTGGCCTGCTCTTGCCCGTAAACCTAACAACCACGAAACACCGGAGAAGCACGTGGTGTTTCTTACCCACGGCCGCCTCCTCTCGGGGAGACGGGAATCACGATCCCAAAGGCAGCCGACCGGTGTCGGGCGCTGCAGCCGCCGGGGGCAGCGTGCCCGCTGCGGGACGTAGACCAGCCGGCACCTGCCCGCCAGCCTCCCCTCGGCCCGTGGCCTCACGGGACCGAGCTCACCGGCCACCCTGCGGGGCCGCGCGCAGCGGGCTCCCCGCGCACAGCGAGCGACGCGCCTCCGAGGAAGCCCCTCGGCTACTCACCGACCCCACTCCGGCCTGAAGGATCCTCAGCCCAGACGATCTCTCCAGGTTGTCCTTGTTGTCCACTGTTAGGAGACACGGAGAGGGACAGGGGTCAGCTCGCGAGGTGACTGCCCTCCAGACTCCCTCAGCGTTTTCCTCCGCGGCGCGGACGCCCCGCTGCACAGCCGCGCCGTGGACTCGCGGAGCGGGAGGCCCTGAGTCCCGCCTCCCGCTGGGAGCCGGGGCCCACGGGCCAGCGTCTGGCGGCTCCCTCCAGAGGGCGCCGTCGCAGGAAGGGCGTGCTCAGGCTCTTGGACACGGGTGCGAGCTGCGGGGTCCCGCGTGAGAACACCACGACGGGCAGCAGTTACACGGTCACTGCGACACGAGCCCCCTGCTCGGCCGGCCGGCCAGGGCCGTGCGTCCCCTCGCCTGCACGGGGGGCTGCTCCACTCCCTCTCGACCAGACGCGCCGGTAACAACCCGGTTCCGCCGCGAGCCTCCTCGAGCTTGCTCCTGATGGGTGGGGGACGGGGAGGGGGAGACTTTTGGAGAACAAGCCACCCCCACGTCACACCGGGGGCCTGAGCTCCGGAAGCAACGGGCACGGGTCCCTGACGGCCCAGCCGTCCTGGGCTCGCCCTGCAAGCCCACCTGCCCCCCGACCCCCGAGCAGGGAGGAGGGAGCCCCAGAGCGGCCGACCTTGGCTGCAGTTCTGCAGGAACGCTCTTTGGGTGAAGCCCCGTCATTTTGGAAATGAAAACAGGAACGAATGGAATTTTATTCAGACCCCAAGAGCGAAGAGCGCCCTGCGGTCGTGGGGAACGCAGAGGGTGACGGCGAGGAGCCGCCTGTTGGGTGCGGCCTCGTCAGTCTCGGGGGATGCAGAGCCCTGCAGGGGATGGACGGGAGCCCCCGTTGCCTCCGCCACCGTCCCCGCCACCTGCCATGGCTGGGGCCCCTCCGTCGCCTTGGGGAAGGTCTCCCCTCTGAACCAGTGGACGTGCTTTTCACTTCCGGGTGAGGGCCCGTCCCCGAAAGAACGCGCAGCACTGCCCCTCTGAGTCACGGCAGCAGGACCTCCCACTGCTGCCGCTGCTGCTGGGGCCGTGGAGCGGGCACGGGGCGCAGCCCAAGCGGGGCCTCGGCCGGAAGAGCAGCGTCTGGACCAGCCGGGGGTTTCCACCTGCTGCTGTGAGCACAGGACACGTTCCGCTGAGCAGCAGGCGGCTCTGGGGGCAGCGGTGAGCAGAAAGCACGGAAAAGCGGGATTTGGGGGCAGCGGCCGGCCGGCAGGCAGGCTCGGGAACGGAAGAGCAGCCGGGCATCAGTGGGGTGAGCGGACTCCCAGGAAGGGTGGGCGGGGCCGCCTGCCCTGCGAGGTGAGGCTCCAGGGCGACGCGGGAGGGGACCCCGGCTGCGCTCCAGCAGAACCTCGCCCTCGGGGCAGGCGGCCATGCTGGCCGGGGACTCCATGGGGACAGCTGAGTGCTGGCTGGGTGCCCCGCCCGCAGCGTGAAATGGAGACCCTTCAGCACAGCCTGCCAGCCCGTCCCGGCGTCTCCCACAAACCCGCCGGGCCTTGCCCTCCAGTCCCCTGGGTCCTGGCCCCCAGGCGGGCCTCGCCCCCAACGGAAACACAGCGAGGATGCTCTCAGCTCAGGGAAAGCACGGCCGTCGTCCACTCGGCCTAAGTGCCTGCCTCAGTTTCCCCTCATGAAGACTGTGTGTGTGGAGGCCCCCGTGTCAGGGTGAGGACTGTGTGGACGCCAGGGGGCGCTGCGCGGGCCCGGGGCTGGCACGCAACAGCGGCTAATCCAGGGGTTTATTGGGGCCGCACGGCACCCTGCCTGAGTACAAGCTTAAAGGTTCTGCCTTTTTTCCAGAACACGCGGAAGGTGCACCGTTCACCCCACTCGTGGTCTTTCTTTCCGTTTCCCTCTTGGCGTGTCTGAGCACAAACTGTGCCCAGGAGTTGCCCGGCGTCCTCCTGCGGTTTTCCTCGCACACCCATCTTCATCTTACACTCTTCCCTCCTGGACCACAGTCCCCACTCCCCCAACCACAGGGACCCATTCGCACAAACCCTCTGGTGGGTGGAACCAGACACCCCGCCTCCTCCCACGGACGGCGTCCCTCCCACGGCTCGTCCCTTCTCAGGTGCCGGGATCGCCCTCCCGGGCCAGTGCGCCCCGTGTCTGCCTGCGAACACACCTGCTCTGACCCTGAAAAGCAGAGTGGTGGGCCACCGTCCCGTCACCCTTTGGTGACCTCCACAATGACGATGACAGTCTCCGGGGGCCAGGCGCAGACTCCGGGCTGTGGGGTGAGCCGGCCGGCGGGAGTCGGAGGGGGGAGAGCCGATTTAATGAGTCGAGGATGATGCATAAAAGCCCGTTTTTATCTTCCCGGAGACACAAAGGGCTTCCCAACACCACAAAGAAGTCCTTTAAAATTAAACTCACTAGATGAAGGGATATGCAAATCATCTGGAGCAGCAGAACCCCGCAACGGTCTCAAAACTCGGCCACAGCCGTTTAATTAATGTTTTAATTTATCGGAACACTTCTCTGCACTTGACAGTTCACGCAGCATCCCGTGTAATTAAGCACGTCGCCACGGCGGAGGGCTCTGCCCGTCTCTTCCCCCTCACCTTCACCCGGAAGGACGTGCCGAGTCCCCTCTGTGGGCCACGAGGTGGTGGGGACCACTCGGGGGTGGGGTGCCAGGGGGCAGCTCGAGGAGCGGGGCGGGGAGGCGGCACCTGACCCCCGACGCGAGGGGAGGCTCCGGCCTCTGCACGCGGAGCCCGGTTCCTGGCAGAGTGACACCCTTGGGCCCCAAGCTGCATCCGCACGAATTTCCACCACAGAAACGTGCGTCTTCTCTGCTACCTTCTGCCCCCGGAGAAGGGAGGGTCAGGGAGCTGGAGGACCATCACGGTCATTAGGGGACCTCTGGCTGACCGAACTGGAATTGGCGTGGTCCCTGGTCAGAATTCGCCCGGCCACCGAGGAGGGACTGGGCCGCACACGTCCTCACAGGGGCGGCCGCCTGCGCTGGAGCCTGTGGGGCTCACGTTGGTGCCGGGTCAGTGCCAGGGAGACGAGGGGGTGCGGAGGGGAAGGAAGTCGACTGATGCCCCAGGTGCCCAGGCCCCTCCTTGGCTCTGTTAGGGCTGGGAAGGGGGTGCAGGAAGCAACCGGCTCACAACGGCCCCCCAGGGCCCCAGGACCCCAAGTGAGCTGCCTCAGACTGGGGAGGGGGGCGGGGCCCTGCTGCTAAGAGCCAGCGTGGCCCCCCAGCGTCTCCTCTCTCGGACCCGGGGAAGACGCCCAGCCCCAGTGGAGGGTGACGGTCCTCGGCCCCCACTGCAGAGCCCACGACTCTCTGAGCAGCTGTCGCTGCAGGGACAGAGCTGTGGCTCCCTGGAAGGAGCCCGGTCACCGACAGGCCTGGCCTGGGACTGGGCAAGAGCCGGACATGTCCACAGGAGCCTCCACCCCTTCAGGAAGCTGGGTGGTCACCTCAGGAGGCAGCCAAGGGCCAGCTCGGAGCCTTCGCTGTGGAAGGGGCAGCTGGGCGTGTGGTGGGGGGCACCTGGGGGTGCAGCCAGGAACAGGAGCCCTGCCCAGGCCCCGTTCCGATGTGCGGGGGGCCTACCAAGAGCCCGTCTGCCCCTCACGTCTTCCCGATGGGGTCATTTTCTTTTGTCTGTGGGAAGCCCTTTAGAGTTAACTTAAATGAGGACCTATCGGCGACAGACTCATTTCCTGGGAAGTATCCTTACTCAACTCTTGTTTTTTTAAGCCCTCGTTTTTGAAAGGCATCTCCCCGTGGAACAACTCTAGGTTGACGACTGTCTCCCCGCGGTAACAGGCAGATGTTTCCCGCCCGTCTCCTGGTTCTGTTTTGGCCGCTGAGCAATCAGCCTCGAGGCGAACTCTCCCTCCACCTGGAGCATGCGCTTCTCTCCTTCGTCCGGAGGCCCTGCGGTCTCGGTTACGGGTCTAGACAGAGACACAGTCCCACACTGAGACATCCCAAGTCTGAGAACTGGTAGCGACAGAAAATTTTCAGCCGTTGCAGCTGCAGACGTGGCCTCCTGATGACCCTCTCCCCTCCGGGGACTCCGGTTAGAGGTACAGGAGGTTTTCTCACCTGGGCTTCTAGGCCTCCATACTTTGAAAATTCACGTGTATTCCCATCTCTCTAGGCTGCATTCTGGATAATTTCTCCAGCGTATCTTTCGGCTCACCCATTCCCTCTTCGGCTGCATCTACTCTGTCTTGACACCTGTCTGTTGAGTGTAAGCTTTCCTTGTATCTCTCAGTTTAAACATCCCAGTGTTTTCCATTTGTTTAGTCACTTTAAGGCTCTTAACCTTTGGGTCATAGTTTTTCTTCCCTCTTGTTTCCCTTTAAACACAAACACTTAAATTTACGTGCGGGGTCTCCTCGTCACACTGTCTGAGGCTCCTTCTGTCCGTCCTTTCAGCCTCCTGTTCCCCGGCACACTCTGAAGTTTTCTGTCCTAAACGCCTCTTTCCTGGGGTTTTGACAGTGGGAACCCCTTGAGGACAGAGAAGAAGGGGGTTCCTTTGGGCGGAACGAGCCTGTCTTCCCTCTAGACCTCTGGACGCCCTACTCACTCGGGACCGTTTGACACTAAATTAATTCCTTGTCGGGGGCTGAGGGACCATGCGGGGGCTGTGAGGGCAAACACCCTGCCCGTCCCCCACCCAGGGACCACGCTGAGGGCAGGCAGCACCCCACCTTCCGGGCGAATGGGGGCTGTGCTGTTATTCTGAGGTGACCCCAGCTGTCTTCCCCAGCCTTGCCCTGGGGCTCGCCTCCTGCCCACAGTCTGTAAGGTCGTGGACACTGAAGCTCAAGGTCAGCCTGGTTGGGGAAACACCGTCAGGTGTTTCATGGTCAATGTCAGTGTCCATGTACGGGTTCCCGCTTCCACCTGGTTTGGGACCTTCCAGAGTGTCACTGTCTCCAGACAACCAATGATGTTTAAAGTTGTGTCTCCGGGTCTTTCCATTCCAGCATTTCCGGTTACTTTCTAAATGAGGGT